AATGATGTATTTGATAGAAATTAGTGAAGAGTAAAGAGAGGCACACTGGGAATAACCCAGAATGAGAGGACAGAATGGAAAAGGAGAAGTTGGAAGTGATAATGTCAGTCATTGCCACCATGGGTTTTGGTGTTTATCACTCTGTAGTGTAATTATCCATGTATTTTTGATTTCTTCTTTGTGGAACTCTGAATCCTTGATATCCCATCAATTTCATATTTATCTTTGAATATCTACTGCTTAGCACATATTTTTTTGTTTGCCACATAAAAGGTACGTGGTAAGGGTTGAATGAATGATTGAGGAGCTTAAAGAAATGTTTTCAACACTTTGTAATTCATCACAATTTACTGAGTACCTATTATATGCCCTCTAGTGTAATAGTAACCAGGATAAGATCTTTTGTTTGTCCACAAGGGATTCCTGGTTTAGAGGTGTATAAGTAAGTGAATAATTGTAAAACTATGAGCAAATGCAGTGGACAGATACTCATGAGGTATTGTAGGAACACAGAGAAGGCATACCTAGCCTAGCTTAGAAAAGATAATGGCAGGATATGAAATGAGAGATTATAGGTCACAAATATAAGTAGAAATAACTCATTTTTGTAAACTCTACAGCCTTACCAATTTTATAGATTATAGTCCTGTAAAATTAATCAATCACCTTGAAGAGTAAGCTTGTTTTTAAAGAATGACTAATAGTTACTCAGATGAAGAATAGGAGGAAAGGAATGTCAAGAAGGAAGAGAGAGTATAAATAGAGTTATGTGAAAAAGAGACATTTGGCAAAGTATATAAGAATCAATGAATTCTTGGGTATTGCAGTGTAAAGTTTGAGTTAGAGAGTGGTAAGAGAGTGGTCAGGAGAAGTTGTCAAGAGGCAGATTATGAAACACCATGTCTAAAAGCCTACATTATACCATTTTAAGTAGTGGAAACCAGTGAAGGATTTTTAACAGAGGCATCACTTGATCATGTTTTAACTAAAAGAACAACTCACACTTAGATAGCTCTTGATGTGCCCGGCATAGCCTCAACGGCTTTATTTACATAGTAACACTTTTAATTCTATGATATCTTTATGACTTAGGTACTATTCTTATCTCCATTTCGTAGAAGTGAAAAATGAGGCATGAAAGTTAAGTAGCCTGTCCAGCATCATACAGCTAATAAATAATAGAGCAAGGATTTGAACATTTATTTAGCCAGTTCACTTGAAAGATTATGCAGCAAGTTTGGATTACAAGAGATTAGATGGGGAATTATTGCGGTGATCTAGTTATGAGATGATAAGATTCTAAACAAAGGCAGTGGAGGTAAAGATAGAAAGGAAAGAAGAAGAGATAAGGGAAAATATTTGAAAAATCTGCATAAGTTTAAATAGGCAGGAGTTTGAGCAGGAGCTTGAAAAGGATGGTAAAAAGGAAGGTAGAGTCATAAGTACTTTAAATTTATCTGGATAGAGAGATCTAGCAGGTAGATGGAGATACACACACACACACACACACACACACACACACACACACACATATGTATATACATATACATATTGGCACCAGGAATTGACCACACTGAGCCACATCTCCAGCCCTTTATTTTTCTTATTTGAGATAGGGTCTCACAGAGTTTCTTAGGACCTGGCTAAGTTGTTGAGACAGTCTTTGAACTCATGTATCCTCCTGCCTCAGCCTCCTGAACCACTAGGATTACATGTCTGCACCACCATGCCCAGCTGGATATTTGGATTTGAAGCTTAAAAGAAATCTTGGCTGAAAACAGAGTTTTATACAAATGTGTAGGTATAAAAGGGAAGTGGTTTGATGATGGAGTACTAGGAAATATAACATTTTTAAGAGTGAACGAACATCAGGAATCACTGAAGGAGGCATAGAATATGGCATCATGGAAACTAAGGAGATATAACCTATCAACAAGAATGACATAATCATGAGTATCAAATGAAGAAAAGAAGCCCATTAACAGAAGGATCTTCATTTGTTGGATGAGTGGTAGCCTTAGTGAAAGGAGTGTTATACAAATATTGGGGATAGGAGTCAGACTGTATAGGTTGAAGAGAAAATGTAAAATGATAAAGTAGTGAAACTGAAGATAGACAAGTCATTCAAGAAGTCTGATTGTTTTAAAGAACAGAGAAGAAGGGAGATAACAGGTAGGGGCTATAGAAGCATAGAAAATTTCCTCTTTGAGTTTATAGGTTGAAATATAGTAGAACTTTTTCATTGGTTGAAAAAGAGGAAAGGGATTCTGATAGAGTAAGGTCTTGGAGGAGGTTAGAATGGATGGCACCAAACATAAATCAGGGAAAATTAATTTAAGTGGAATGAAAGCACATCACTGACCAGAAGAAAGTAAGGGGGAGCCCTTAATCTTTTTTGATTTAATTTTTTGACTGACACAAAATAATTTTATATATTGAAGTTTCTTAATGGTTTATAATTATTGCTCACTTGTATATGAAAGCAGTGGTGTAGGATGAGGGTGGAGAGAGACACAGGATCATTTTTCTGTGAAACCAGCTTCTTAATAAGGCTGTCCAACAACTTTGCTCTGATATGATCTTGGTTAGCTAATAAACATCTGCACAGAGAGGGAAAGTGAAAAAATGTGATTTTTTTTCCAAAGTAGGATAAATAAATACATTAAAATGTTTTTATCTTAAGAAGAAACACCAAAATTGAAATATTTCACAAGGAAATTGGAAATAGAGTCAATCAAGTCCTCTGTTTTATGGGAATTGGTTTTGCTTAAGTACAGTAAAATTACCTCAAGGTTACCTTAATAATGGGTTTTAATGGTTTGCAAGGTGAGGTGCAAAGAAAACCATCAAGTATCTTTCTTTTTTTAAACTCTTTAAGTGTTGACATCCACATTAAGACTCCACTTTAATAAAAAGAATCAAAATGTATGCTTTGGTTGGCTCTTGGAAAAACACGTTAGGACAGATATAAAAAAAAATATTTGGAAGTCAGACAAACCTGGATTCTATGGTCCTCTCACTTCTTTGTTGTATGTGACTTTGATCAAGTTACTTAAACCCTCTAGACCTTAGCTTTTTCATCTTCAAAATGAAGGTAGTACCTATACCTCATAGAGAAGTATAAAATATTAAAAGAAATCATGGGACAGTATAAAATATTTTTAAAAAGAAAAAAATCATGAGTCATTCTTACATCCCAGGAATAAATTCTACTTCAACATGATGTTTGATCCTTGATATATAATGTTATATTGAATTTGCTAGAATTTCATCGACAATTTTTGCATCTATTGTTTATCAGAGATATTAGACTGTAATTTTCTTGTCAGGTGTGATATTTGCAGGACTCGGAATTAAAAATTGCAAAGTGGCAGTTAAGCTTTTTGTTTACATGGTGTTTAAAAAAATACTAAACAAACAAACATTAAAAATTTGAGTGATCTCACCTAAAAGTCTGACTTTGGGCTCATGGAAAATAAAAAGGTATGACTATGCTATCTAATGGCAATGATAGGATGGAGCTGATTATTAGCTGTTCTCTTCCTATAAAGACCCATTTAGAAGACTTTTCTGTACCCTGAAGGCATTTGAATTCCTGACATTTGTGGGTATTCTCATTAGTCATAAATCTTGGAAACAGAGGGCTGGGGCTTTGGCTCAGTGGTGGAGTGCTTGCCTAGCACATGTGAAGCACTGGGTTCCATCCTCAGCAGTATCACATAAAAATAAATAAATAAAGTATTCTGTCCATCTACAAAAAATCTTGGAAACAATGATGATTTTAACCAGCTAATATATCAGAAACAAACTTCATGCCTGGAATTTTAGATACTTATCAAAGGTATAAAAGATTACATAGCTTTCATTGAAGTAAAAGCTCCTTGAAAATAACTCTCTTTAGGTTTTATATCAGCTTAACTTTCAATTTAGCTTTAGTTTAACTTTACAAATCACTAAGTCAAAGTTAATATTCACTATCTTTTCACCAATATTTCCAACTATTTTAATGAGAGAGACAGAGGGAGAGGGAGAGGAGAGGGAGAGGGAGGGGGAGAGAGAGAGAGAGAGAGAGAGAGAGAGAGAGAGAGCATGCAAGGGGGGTGGGAGAGACAAAGAGAGGGAGAAACTATTTGAGTTGTTCAATTAATGTTTTATGCTTTCCTCATGAAGTGACTCAGTATGTCAATGAAGTTTTACCTACCTCAAGCAAAGCTCTATGCTAGTGCTGTGTGGTTAATCATTTTAAAGACATAAAGGAGGATTCAGATGAGCAGAGAGAAAGTTCCAGTTATTCTACTTTCAGATGTGAAGAGTTATTTGAGGGTTACAGGACAACTAATATTATTTTGACCAGTACTTCTGCTTATTTGAAGGGAGAACACTGATATTTCAGGTTTTCTTGCATTCTTCACATTTCACATAATGAAACTTAATTTTAAGATTCCCATTTCATTTATAGTACATTAACTGAGAGGAATCCTATCTTTTCTCTTCTAAAACCTGTCTCAGGTGTTTTCCTTTGATACATATATTTTTTAAAAAAATATTTTATTAGTTGTTGATGGGCTTTTATTTATTTATCTGCAGTGCTGAGAATCGAACCCAGTGCCTCACACATGCTAGGCAAGTTGCTCTACCACTAAACCACAACCCCAGTCCCAATACATACATTTTTTGAGCAGGAAAATTTCTTCTATTTGCTTAAGATAAGAAGAGTAATATCAAATCTGAGTAGAGATATCAATTTATGTGTAGAAAACAATTAAATAGAAGGGAGAACTTTTGTCCTTGTTATCCTTGTCACCATAAGTAAGGTGTAATTTCACATGGCAGCATGACCTATTGTAAATATCAATAAAAATAAATAAGTGACAGGAAGATCAACAGAATATAGGAAAGAGAAAAGTGGAGGGAGAAAGGGAGGAAAAGGAAGTGGGAATGGGTATTGAAATCAAATTCCTTGTAGGTATAATTATGTCAAAAAGAACACGAATAATACATATAAATAAAATGCTCTAATAAAAAAGTAAAAACAAAAACAGATCTAACCATGGGAAATTTAACAACACATTTGTGTGCTAAAATATTGAGTTTCTTGGACCAAACCATATTTTAAGTGACTTTAAGATGTTGTTTTTCATAGACTCATGTCATTTTCCTTCTCTACTTCACTACAGGAATCTCATTCAATTTAGTGTTTTTACAAATCGAGACCATATGAAAGATCTCCGAAGGTACCTGACATTCAAATATATCCAGTATCTAGTCCTACCTTCTCCAAACATTATCGTCACTCTGCTGGGATTGTTTGCCAGTGTGTATGTCACACTAATATTAACATTACCTTTTGTATCAAGAAAATCTACTGCAGTATTTATTAGTAACATAGCTCAGGCAGACATCTTTGTGGGTTGTAGCATCTTTTCTGCCATGATTCAAGATGTGATAAAGAGTGAAATATTATCATATTCTGTTCAATCAACCTTAAGGCAGAATTTCCAGATTGCAAATGTACATATCAGTTCTCTTTTACTCAGCTGTGTTAGCCTTGAAGCCTTTCTGATCACTTTTCTTCCAGTAGAGACACGCCACATAAGAACTGTGAGATGTGCCAAGGTGGCTTCTAAGATCATCTGGATTGCCATAATTATTGAGTGCTTCCTTTATCAAGTGGAGTGCTTCAAACACCTTAGCATCTCTTATTTTGACACTCACAGGCACATTTTGCTGTTGCTAAATTGCTGTTATGGAGCCACAAAACTGCTGAAATCAGTTGTTTATCCAATTGGATTACTTTTAAGGATCTTCAATGTGTACCTCTTTTATAAAATGTATTTCCGTGTTTTACCTTAACAAAACCTGTGATGGTTAATTATGTTAATTATGGCTAGGTATAGTGCCCAGTTTTTTGTTCAAACATTAATCAAGATGTTCTTGAGAAGATATTGTGTAAATGTGATTAACATTTATGGTTTTAATAAAGGAGAGTATCTAAAACAGTGTGAGTGGAACTCATCCAATTAGTTAAAGGTCTTAAGAGGAAAAAAAAACCTGGGATTTCCTAGGAATTATGCCCCATCAGTATCCTGCTTGAATTTCCAGGCTGCTGGCCTGCTCTAAAGATTTCAGACTCAAGACTACAGCATCAGTTTTGCCTGAGATTCTAGCTTCATGGCCTCCCCTACAGATTTTGGATTTGGGGGCTCTGAAAATCATGTGAAATAATTACTTAAAATTTAAAAATAAAAATTAAATAAATGAAGAAAACTTCATATCCTATTGGTCCTTGTATTTATTTATTTCTTCTTCTTCTTCTTCTTCTTCTTCTTCTTCTTCTTCTTCTTCTTCTTCTTCTTCTTTTTTATATTTTATTTAGAGACAGGGCCTCATTAAGTTGCTTAGGGCCTCTTTAAGTTGCTGAGGTTGGCTTTAAACCTGTAATCCTCCTGCCTCAGCCTCCTGAGTCGCTGGGATTAGAGGTATGTGCCATTGTGTTCAGCTCTTGCTTGTTTGTTTTTTTTTTAAGAACCCCCAACTAAATCAGGTGATGACCCCAATTGCAGCTGCTATACCAGATGTAGTTTCATTGTTTGAGCAAATTATCACATTTCCTGGTACTGTTATGCAATACTTTTTTCTCCATATTTATTTACTAACACTACCAGAACAGTTTGCTTTCTCTTGGCAAGGCCAGCAATATATTTTTACTATCTTACCTTCCTATGTCATAATTTAGTTTGCAGGGTGTTGATTGTCTTTCCCTTCCACAACACATCACAATTCACTTTACACATCACAATTTTGCATTACATTGATAGAATTATGCTCATTGGACTCAGTGAGCCAGAAGCGACATCCACAATAGACTCATTAGTAAGATGTTTTAATGTTCAGAGGTTATGGAATATTTTTGATTAAAATTCAGGTGCCATCCACCTCAGTTAAATTTCTAGGGGTCCTGTAGTGTGGTGAATGTTAACACACCTTTTATTAGGTAAATGATTAGTTGTTGCATCTAGCCTCTCCTACAATCAAAAAAGAGGCATGATGCTTAGTGGGCTTCTTTGGACTTTGGAGAAAATTTATTTCTCATTTGTATGTGGTACTAGAAATATTTACTGAGCAAGTTGAGAGCCTGCTAGTTTGAATGAGACCCAGAGCAAGAAAAGGTTCTGCAACCAGTCCAGGTTTCTGTACAAGCTGCTCTGTCACTTGGTTCTCATGATCAGATAGATCCAATGATGTTTGAAGTGTGAGTGGCAGATATTGATGCTGTTTGAATCCTTTGGCAGGCCTAAATAGGTGAATCATAATATAGACCATTAGGAGTTTAGAGTAAAGCACTGCTATCTTTGGTAGATAACTACTTTGAGAAAAAACTTGTGGTTTGCTACTGGGTCTTGGTAGAGAGTGAATGCTTAAACATGGGCCACTAGGTTACATGCAATCTGGGCTTTTCATCCTGAGCTGACTGTTGTCCAATGCATCAAGTCAGATCACTGAGTGTTCCCAATCATATTCCATAATCAAATGGCTACAGTATATATAAAATTAGCTTTGAGCCAGTCCTGAAAGTATAAGTTATATGAAGAGGTGGCCCAAATGTCCATTGACCTCAATCCTTCTTGCTATGGTTCAGATATGATTTGACTATGTCTCCCAAAGAATAATATGCTGGAAGCCTGATCTCCAATGTAGTGTTTTCTATAGGTAGTGGAATCTCTAATAGGTGGGATTTAGTGCAAGGTAATGATATCATGGGAGCCTTATCCTCTGAAAGAATCACTGCTGGTCTCATGGAGTGAGATAGTTATCATGGGAGTGGGTATTATAAAGCAAGTTCACTGTATATGCTCAATCTATTCTGCACATGGCTGTTTCCACTTCCATTTCTTTGCCATGTTGTGAAGGCCCTTGACAGAGGCTGTTATAGTTTAGATATGAGTTGTTCCCCCAAAACTCATAATGTGAGACAATGCAAGATTTAGTTAAAGGTGAAATGATCACTGGGCAAGGTGGTGCATGCCCATAATCCCAGTGGCTTGGGAGGCTGAGGCACGAGGATTGTGAGTTCCAGCTTCAGCAAAAAGCAAGGCACTAAGTAACTCAGTGAGACCCTGTGTCTAAGTAAAATACAGAATAGGGCTGGAGTGTCAAAAAAAAAGAGGTGAAATTATTTGATTACGTGAACCCTGATCAGTTCATTAATCCTCTGATAGTGATTAAGTGGGTGGTAACCATAGGCAGGTAGGATGTAACTGGAGGATGTGGGTTAGTGGGGGCATGCCTTTGGGGTATATATTTTGTCTTTGTTGAGCTGAGCACTTGCACTGTGCCCCCCTCCTGGTGCTATTTTCCCAGATGCTTTCCTCTGTAACACTTCTGCCATAATGTTTTTCCTCACCTCAGGCCCCAGTGGAGTTGGCCATCTATGGACTGAGACCACTGAAACTGTGAGCCCCAAATAAACTTTTCTACCTTAAAATTGTTCTTGTCAGTTCTTTTTTCACAGTGGCAAAAATGTTGACTAATACAGAGACTAAAAATATGGGACCATCTCTCTTGTTCTTTCAGTCTGTCCCCAAAATTGTGATCCACATAAATCTCTTTTCTTTATAGATTATCCAACCTTAGATTTACCTATAGTAACAAAAAACAGAATCAGATAATGCTACACTATCTTTTTTTTTTTTTTTTGTCGTACCTATGACCTCATGGGGACTTCCTTTTGATTAATTGACAAAAGAGGGGAAATCTAGTTTACAGATGGTTCTGCATAAAATACATGTACTATTGAAAGTGGACAGGTACAACATGGTAGCCTATATCTGGGGTGTCATTGAAGGACAATGGTGAAGGGAAATCCTCCCAGTGGACATAAGTTTAAGCAATGTAGCTGGTTTTTCACATTGCCTAGAAGGAAAAATGGACAGATATATGATTATAGACTGATTCATGGACTGTGACTAATGGATGGTGAAGAGTTTGGAAAGGGCATGTTGAAAAATTGGTAACAACGGCATCTGGAGAAGAGGTATTTATATTGACCTCTCAATTGATGAAAAGCTTAAACATATTGTTGTCCCATATGAGAGTTTACTAAAGGATGGCCTTATTAGAAGAATATTTTAATATTCTGAGGAATAGAATGACTCACTGTGGATACAAGTCAGCTTCTTTCCCCAGTCACCTCTGTCCTTACCCAATGGGCTTATTCTGAGGAATAGAATGACTCACTGTGGATACAAGTCAGCTTCTTTCCCCAGTCACCTCTGTCCTTACCCAATGGGCTTATGTCCTTACCCATGGTCATGGTGATAGGGATAGAGGCTATTTATGGGCTCAGCAACATGAACTTCTGTTAACCAAGGCTAACTTTATTAGAAAAATATTTAAGATTCTGAGGAATAGAATTACTCACTGTGGATACAAGTCAGCTTCTTTCCCAGTCACCTCTGTCCTTACCCAATGCGCTTATGAAAAACATGGTGATAGTGATAGGGATAGAGGTTATTCAGAGACTCAGCAATATGAACTTCCATTAGCCAAGGCTGACATACCTTTAGACCATGTTGAGTGTCTAATCTGCCAGCAAAAGAGGCTAACACTGAGTCCCTAATATGATATCATCGTCTGGAGTAGTCAGTTACCTACATGGTGGAAAGGTTACATTGGATCACTTCTATCATGGAATGAGCAGGGTTTTGTTCCTACTAGAATAAACAATTACTCTTGATATGTACTTGTCTGCCTGCATGCAATACTTCTGCCAAAACTACCATCCATGACCTAGAGAATGTTATATATGCCAGAATAGCATTACACACAGCATTACTACTGCTCAAGGAATCAGTGCACAGCAAATGAAGGATGGCAATGGGCCCATGCTCATAAAACTCAGTGGTCTTAATATTTCCCCTACCTCCTGAAGCAGATGGCTTGATTGAGTTGTGGAATGGCCTTTTGGCAACTCACTTATTGTGGAAATATCTTGAAGGATGGAGCAATTTTCTCTGGAATGCTATTTATTCTAAAAATCACCATCTAATATATGGCACTATTTCTCCCATAGCCGAGATTTAAAAGGAATCAAGAGTGACCCAATAGTACATTTTTTTGTTTGTTTTCTATTCCTGCAACCTTTTTTTTCTGTTGGCCTAGAAAGCATAGTTTCAAGGAAAAGAGTGAATCAAAACAGTGGTTCCATAAATTTGAAAGTTAGATTGCCACGTGGTTACGCGGGCTCCTTATGCCTTTAAGTCAGCAGGTAAAATCATATCTATGGCATGAGAAGTACTTTTCAGACATTAATGGTATCATATCCTAAATATATATATATATATATATATATATATATATATATATATATGTAATTAGGATATATGAAAAAATAATAAATACTATATGACAAGTGACCCACAACCTGGTAAATGTTTATAAAAGAAAAAGTACATTTTGTACTGAGTTGGTTAGCAATGACCTGACTATTTATGTGAGACTTCAGCTGTGTCATTGATATTAACCTTATTAACAACTCACAATTATTAACAACTCACAAACTCTGAATTATAGATTAATGGGCAAGCATGATTTAGTTGAGACATGAGTGTGTGAACACAATGGGTTTTTTGTTGTTGTTGTTGTTTGTTTGTTTGTTTTACATCTCTCTTCTATGGCTCAGAGAAATTTGGCTTTCCCTAATACCAATTGTAATTACTTAGTGAGTGAATCTTGAAATGCTTTAAGAGATACACAAAGCAGTCTATCTATCTACAGGCATATGTCTTTCTGAATGCACTCTTTTTGTCAATTATTTGTATGTACTATTGTGAATCATAGTTGGAAAATTAGTCCATGTTTTGGGTCAAATGACCCAATGATAAAAGGATTGGACCAGGTTCTTGAACAGAAATATCTCTGTTAATTGACATCTTTGGGCAAGTAGCTTTGAAATAAAGCACAAGCACTTTTTGGAATTGAAAAGAAGGATATAAGAGGGTAGAGACATGTATAGGCAGAGTATGCATGATAAGTTTTTGTTTTGAATGATTCTAGGAAAAGGAATTAGACCTTGTTTTAGATAGAAGTGGATGGAGCATAAAATAGACATCTTGGAAACTTGATACTCGATTCTTGGAAACTTTTAGAATGTTCCCAATATCATTATTTC